TTTTTCTTCCACTCAACTTTCTGTTAACATGCTTGGATACAGCACTCTGTGAACAGCCAGCTTCTTTGGCAATGAATGTTTGTGGCTTACCCTCCTTGTGAAGGGTGTCAATGATTGTCTTCTGGACAACTGTCAGATCAGCAGTCTTCCCCATGATTGTGTAGCCTAGTGAACCAAACTGAGAGACCATTTTGAAGGCTCGGGAAACCTTTGCAGGTGTTTTGAGTTGATTAGCTGATTTGCATGTCACCATATTCTAATTTGTTGAGGTGTGTGTGTGTGTGGTTGAGTAATGAATAATTTCAAAGAATTTCTCTTTTTTTTTTTTTTTTTTTTTTTCCTTTTTATTTTCCTATAAAAGGTAATAACATTGCCGCATTTAAAACTTCTACAGTTTTTGATGTTCACTCGTTAATGAGAAGTCGCTGATCAGATACAAATATGATTTTGGCTGAAAAGTTATGACCGTTTTATTAAACTAATGATTCTTCAGTTCCAGCCGGACTCAGAAAGCAGAAATAGTCTACAGATTTTGAGCTGGCTAAAAGCAGCTGTGTTTGGCTCATGCTTTAAACATGATGGATTAATGAGTGAAATAATTGGCGACTCGTTTCCGTATCTGTCAGGAGTTACCCAGCAACATTCTTCTTTGTAACTTGTTTTGTTTGGTCTAATTGCCTGCAGTTGTTAATCGTTGCGTTTTGTGCTGTAATGTGACCTATTCAGGGTTCATGCAATAAAAGAGTGCTTTTCCCTTTGACGTTCCCTGTCAAATCAAGACGTAATGAGCAATTACACACACAGACGCTCTAATGATCTGAGGATTGACTCGCACTCATCCGACATTAAGTCATGTTATATGTGTCCCTGCAGCACAAAAGCAGTGTTGAGTCGCTGGGGGATATTTGTAGCAATAGCCAATATCTATCTATCTATCTATCTATCTATCTATCTTGTGTGTGTATTTACATATGTATTTATTAATAATGCAAAATAGAAGCATTCTCAGTACTTGTCTTACAGACTACAGTATAGATTTACAATCAACAATCACATTTGTTCACTGGTTGGTTTTACTGCCTGATTCTGGTTTGTTTTTTGCATCTTTGTCTTTTCGCCTCGTTTCCTTTGTGTTTATCACTTCAAACACAGCTGCATTAACTCTATTGTAGGGGTCTGCAACGCAGAGACCCTTCAGACTGATGCTCAGAGCAGAATTACAACAGAGCACACGCATCTGCAGCCAACAACAGAGCGAAACATAATTGTGTCCTGTCATATTTAAATGCTCCTCGACAGAAAAGGGACAAAATATCTCCCTCTCTCTAGCTTTTCATTGGTCTATTTTGCCTCCTCCTCATCCTCTGTGTCTCTCTTTCTCTCTCTCTCTCTCTCTCTCTCTCTCTCTCTCTGTGTGTAGGTGGTGAAGCTGCTGAACACCAAGCGTTCTCAGGCCGTGGGGATCCTGATGTCCAGTTTACATCTCGACATGAAGGACATTCAGCACGGTCAGAACCGTCTGTCTTTTTCTCCTCTTCATATTGTTGTATGATTGAACATGAAGCGCTTCTGCACTGACTCTGATCCAGATGTGTGCTTGTAAATCTGATTCAGTGCATTCTTACCATGTATTTACTCTGTAGTGAGAGTTAAATGTTTGTTGTTTGCGGCTCTGCTGGACCCTGAACGGGAACCTGCTCTGAACAAACTCAGGCATTTGAGGAATCAATCGTGCTGCAGGGCACCCGCTTAAAATAAACAATTTTTAATGACGTGAGGCCAGATTTACAGGTTGTTTTAGATATTTTAAGATTATCTTGGAGCTTATTGCTTTAAAAAAAACATTCATTCATTTATCTATCCATTTATCTATTTTTATTTATTTGTAATTAATTATTATTTATATTTTTAATTTATTCATTTTATTTTATTTATTAAATTAAAATGATTAAATATAATAAATTTAAAATAAATTAAGTTTATTGATTTTAATTATTATTTATTTTTTCTCACCATTAATTTGCCGTTTTAGCTGGCATGATACTTAATCATAAAGCAGACAAACTCCTACTTAAAATAACATTCAGATTTAAACATTGTTCCATTTGCTGCTGTGTAATGTCTGTTTCACAGATGATCCAGACGAGTGTCTTTAAGTGTAAAAATGACACTGCAGCATGAATGTGAACTGATGTTGCTGTAATATCAGTCGTGTTATGATGAGATGTTGGTCGGATGGACTCGTGTGTTTCATGTCTCTCGTCTCGGGCAGAAATGTGCTTGGAATGCCAGCAGAACTTGTGCTTAATTTCCATCGTGTGTGTGTGTGTGCGTG